CTTCCTCTCTGAAATCAATAAGAATATATCTTAAAAAAGAAAGAAAAAAGAACCTAGGATATTGTTCCCTGGGCCTGGGGAGCCCCTGAAGATTTTGGGGAGCCACATCCCATGTTTATTGGTCATTTGGAAATCACTTATAGGTTATCGTTTTAATCTATGGGGAGCAGTTTGAAATGCGTAAAAATACATTCATTTATTTTATTTTTTTACATTTATTTTTTAATGTATACATGTACACTGATAGTCCGACAGAAAACTTTATGACTCCATTTGATATTATCAGTGGGACTTTCGCTGCTGCCACTGATGACAGAAATTTATCTGAAAAATAAAAAAGTCGATGTTAAGGAAAAAATTGTAATTGGAAGATTATAAAAGAGGGTTTCACGTGCCAGCAATAGTTACTGGCATGCCATGTTTGGCACGCGTGCCAGGGGTTGCCCACCCATGTTCTAGAGGATAAACAGAGCAGAGGGACATGGGAGCAAGATGGAGAGAGCAGGAGAGGAGAAAAGAAAGCCAGAGGGAAGCAGAGAGACTTGGAGGGAGAGGAGCCAGATTAAAGACTGTGGACACAAAGAGAAGAGAAGGGAGAAGCCAGAAAGAACAGGACTCTCTGTGTCCAGTGAGCTTGGAGATGTAGCTGAGGACCCCAACCAGGAATCCAGGGACACATGCCCTCCAACTATCTCCCCCTCCCCCATCCCAACGGAGAAACAGAAGGTCAGGTGGCTGGAGCTCCTCCTCTCCTAAATCCTTGGGTGTCCTCTCAGTTAAGCAGCTCTGAGGGTGGGGTCTGGCTTATCTTGGTGGGTGGGGCTTTATAGCCAAGTGTACCTCATGCAGAGGTAGGACCCCAGACTGGAGTCCTAGTGGAGGGCTAGGAGCCAGCTAGTGGCAACTCTAACCCCAGGGCCAGGAGTCATGCCCTAACTCCTACCTGAACACAGAGATCCCCTGACCTCCTCTCTGCAGTTATGCCTGGCATAGGTGGCATTCCCTTGGTTTGTCTACTTTATTCTCCAGGGCACTGGGCTCTGTGAGTGAGCTTATGGGGAAAGGTGTGTGTGTGTGTGTGTGGTAGAAACAGGTATGTATAGTGTATGCTGTGGTGTTGGTGTGCATATGTAGTGTGTGTACTGCGTCTGTCTTTCCCT